TGGGGTATAAAAGACTGAAGCAAGCGAACACAATGTGTAGATGGCAAAGGACAATGGAAGATGAAGATCGAGAAATAGCTATAAGTGTCAGCAGAGGTAAGTATGTTTGGAAATACATTTTCAGATTAAGAAAATGATGACTTTTGGAAAAGGATTTACTTATTTAGAGAGTTGGGTGAAAATATGGCATGTGGCTTTTATTTATAAAATGCAAGGTCATGCATGAGGGTTATCATAATCTTAATAGTTTTATGAAAGAAAAGTATCAGTGTTTTGGTTGATCAGTCTTTAAAGTCTTCCAGACAGTGTGTTATTGCCAGTGGGAAGACCAATAGGATTTTTGGTTGTATCTACAGGAATATTGAATCTAAATTAAAGAAGGTTACAGTTTCTTTATACATATCTCTGGTTAGGCTTCATTTAGAGTGTTGGGCTTAATCTTAGACACAATCTTAATCTTAGAAAGATATTGAGTTGTTGGAAAAAAACTAAAAGGAGGGCTACTAAGGTGATTCCTGAAATGGAGGAACTGTCATATGAAGACAGGTTAGGGTCCTTAAAATTATTTTCTCTTGAGAAAAAAAAGGTAAGAATTCCTAATTATTTTATAAAAAAACAAAATGTATCATATTGAAATATTTTTGACTTTTAAAAGATGTGAATCCATACAAGTATCAGAAATTGTAAAAACATTGTGGGGGATAAGTTAGCAAATTGGATAGAAAAGTGTCTGGATAAAAGAAAGCAGAGGGTTGTTACAAATAGGTTCAGTCAAACTGGATTAATGTTACAAGTGAGGTACCTCAGAGCTCAGTCTTAGAACCTTTGCTCTTTTTGATTTACATCAATGACATAGATGAAGGAATGGTCAATGAATTACTTAAATGGGTGTTGCTAGCTGTGAAGAGGATGCTGCTGATTTACAAAAGGACTTCGTAGTGAGTTGGGCAAATACATGACAAATGGGTTTGTAATTATATTAAATGCAAGATAATGCATTTGGGTTATTATAATTTCAATTATAAGTATAATTTGGATGAGAATAACATTAACAGTGTCATGAAAGAAAGGGATCTTGGTGTAATAGTTGATCAGTCTCTTAAACCATCCAAGCAGTGTGCTGTTACTAGTGGTAGGGCAAAGAGGATTTTAGGTTGTATATACAGAAATATTGAATACAAGTCTAATGAGGTTATAATTTTATTGTATAGGTCACTGGTTAGGCCATATTTTGAAGTATTGTGTTCAGTCTTGGTGGAGGGTTACTAGAATGGTGCCTGGATGGTGGGGTTGTCATATGAAGTGAGGTTGAAATCTCTCAAATTGTTTTCTCTTGAAAAAAAGAAGAATTAGAGGGGATCTGATTGAAGTGTTTAAGATTCTAAAAGGAATTGATTGTGTTGATGCATCATCTTTTTTCATAATTAACAGTGAGAATAGTAGGACTATACATTTTGGCAGAGTGGGAGTAAAATTCAGTTAAGAGGTTTTTTTTAAGAGGGTGGTTGGCCTTTGGAATTGTTTGCCTTTGGATGTTGTGGAGGTATTAAATTTAAGTGAGTTTAAGAGAAAGCTTGATAAGTGTATGAACAATAAGGGCTGGTATAAGATTTTTTTTAAATTTGTCTATTAATAGTTTTAGTTTAGTTTAGAGAATGGGACAGCCGAGTTGGACCAATAGGTCCCACGTTGTCCCAAAACAGTTATAAATATTTTATTTTGCAGAAGCTACATAATCTGTAAATAGTTCAACTTAAGTTTCAAACAGTTTATCCTGTAGTCTTTTGTTTTGTTTTTGCAGTATAATAACTTGAATGTTAATGAATTAAACTACCAGAACATGCTGTATCATCTGGCAAACCATTCAACAAGTTAATAACAATAATGGGTAATAATAAGTAGTCTGAAAAGTAAAGTTTTTCTTTAAGGTTTTTACCTCAGGATGAAACCTCTAAATAAAAACCTGAAAGAACTCTTATGGTGAAGGTAATGTCTCTCCTCATGTACAAATAAAAAGGAAGGCAGTATTCTTTGTTTATTGTTTAAAGTATTTAGGTGTAATCTACTCCTTCCCTTTCAGAGAAATCTAAATAACTGTGGAAGGTGAAGTGAGGCTTACACATTGAACATTGTATAGTGTATTCTCAGTGAATATCTATAATTTACTTGTGTTATCTAGACAGTGATCACCCCCCTCACCCATTGGTGCATGAATTTTATGCGATAGTCCCCAAACTTAAAGATTTTTCAGTCATTCCAGTCCAATATGTGTAGTATATGTATAGATTCAACAACTTTAATTTTCTGTCATTGAATGTAGGTTTGAGAACTTCAATGGACTGCAACTGCTTGTTGAAAGAAAATTAGATGACGTTTTGGCTTCTGTACCGAGGCCTTCTTCAGATCTCCTTTTCTTTCAACATGCAATTGTAGTCCATTAAAGTTTTCCAAGTTAATATGACTACTCTGTCTAAAGTTTGGGTAATGGCAAAGTATCTTGTGGGGTTAAATTCTGGTCATCATTGGGACTGTAAGCTAATTTTTACTATCTTCCTCATAATTGTTACTACAACATAATCACAAGTCTTTTCCACCTGCATAAAATTTCTTTATTCCAAGTTTAAGTCCAGGTTATGGTAGCAGTGATTGATAAAATGTTACTGTTTTTGTATTGGCAAGCACAGCCATCTCCTAAAACATGAATATTATATGGAGTCTTTGATAATGCAGAAATTTAGATTGTAGTAACAGATAATTAGCCAGAAATTACAAATGAAATTGGATTTCAAACCATGGTTAACAAATTCAGAGCCTTGCATCTCCATGTGTGCAATACTAAATTTCATTTCAAATGGATAAACAAGAGGCTATTTTATATAAACATTCCTCCAATTTTGCCATGTTATTGCATTAGCCATGTAATTTAATTCAAATTGAATATTTATTTGATTAAGGAAAAGGTTTTGTCATCTGAATTTGGAGAGTTACTTGCACTTTATAAGAATATTCCAGGTCTGTGTACTTTGTAAGAACAATGCTACAGGTCATATGTTGCCCTGGGAACTATTTCTTCCATTATCAATTATGTTTAAAACTGTCAACTATGATTAAACATTATTGCTTGACACTGAAACTTCTATTGTAAAAAGCTTCTGCAAAAGGTACCTAGGTAAACTGTAGACCACACATCTTGACAAATGTTTCCACAAACTCTTCTACTGTATGTGAACTTCAGCTATTAATGCTACATTTAAGGATACAGAAGTCTGTTGGAGTTGATTTGGGAACTTCATAGGTATGTAGTGAAACAAGGATTTTGTCATACCAATTTCTTTGTATTATTTCTCATAAGAAAAGCTGTTAATTATGAAGTGTGGTTGGGAATTGAGGCTTTTGAACTTTGGTTTTTGAGATTTTGTCAATTATAAATATTTCTTTGCTGACTTGTTAATGACACTAGAAGACATGCTCAGCTTTATATCAATGGCTTTTTCTTATGGGTGAAAAATAAAAAGAATGGGTACAAAATTCTTCTCTTTTTCTTTAGTAGAAAAAGCATAAGGTGATGATAAATAGGCAATAATCTGATTAGAAGATTGCCACTGGTGTGGTTCCTCATATCTGTTGGGAATATATTATTCATTTTTAAAGTTATTTATTTGGATGTGAACTTGGCAGTAAGCTGGAAACTTTCCTGATAATTAGAAAATGTGAGGTTTGTAGTCTTGAGAATGTTAACTCTAGATTTAGACAGTTTTAGTTAGTAATTTGGAAAATGTTTTAGTATTGAAATAAAGTGATGCACTTGCAATATGAAATTTTGAAATAACTTTTTACGTGAGAAGAACATGGATGTAATGAAAAAAAATTAATGTGTTAGTATTAACATTTGCATTTTTCACCATTATACAATGAAATATTTGATAATGATTAAGGGAGAAATTTGCATTTAACAGAGTGGAAAGAACTTGTGTCAAAATGTGTTGTGTGTGTATGTGTCTAATGTAAAGTTACTTTTTAATTACTTTCAACAAATAAAGAATTCAGTCCAATGGAGGTAGAATAACCATATTAAAGCTACACAATCCTACCAAAAGTCATGGGACACTGGCATCCTCCATACCCAAACCAAAGTGGAAGTGTGTGTAGCGTGACTTACTTTCAACAAATAAAGAATTCAGTCCAATGGAGGTAGAATAACCATATTAAAGCTACACAATCCTACCAAAAGTCATGGGACACTGGCATCCTCCATACCCAAACCAAAGTGGAAGTGTGTGTAGCGTGACTCGTTACCCCACAGGACCGATTTCTATTGATACAGGGTCCAGGTTTGGTGTGCCTTACCCAATGCCAATTGACGGTGTGCATTTGTTTTTGTTATCAACAGCTTGTGGGTTGCAGCTCTTCCTTGAAAATTCATCGTGTTGTGGAAACTTATAGGATTACCTGTGGCTGCTAGCATCTCTAAACAAAGGTTCTCTAGCGTGTGCCGGCGAGATGAGGTAACCAGCCTTCTCAAGGCTTGTCAGCTCCTGTCAGTCAGTATTTTATACCTACCTGATTGTTTCTTAGGCACATTGTCACCTGTGGACTTCCATTACTTCAGCATGCTGCCAACTGTCAACCTTGGAATGTTTAATTGTTGCGCAAAAGCACACACACAGACATTTTTCACACATGACATTCATATATCTTTTCCCTCTGAAACTCTGGTAGCTTTTCCATGTACTCATCATTTAACGTACAAGTTTGAAATGCTTCCAAGCGAACCGCTGATCACCTTTATAGGTCAAAATATTTCCATATTTCATCGTCACACCCATTTTCCAGCAATCAGAGGAGTGTCTTAGGACCTTTGGTAGGATAGTGTATTTCATACTTGTGGATCATTAAATTTTTTGTTGCAAATTATACTTTGCATATAATTTAAATTATTTCTTTAAATTTCAATTAATATGACAATATTGCTTTTAGAAAATGTTTTATTTTGTTTATAGGGGCGTAAAGGCCTTTAAACTGATGTTCGATGTGATCAAGCATCCACAACTGGTTGACAGATATAAACATTTTAAGAAGCTTTCTTGTACATGTAGACTCTACTGTGTCAAGGCATTAAGAAGTAAAAAACCAAAATCTGAGATTCAAAGGGTGAGGGGAAGAAGAATGTCTAATCAAATAGTCTTGTACATATAAAAAGTGTTATTTATCATTTCTGTAGCAGTTTCAATTTTTGTAAGCCATTTTAAAAAATTCAATAGATGTGGAAAAACTGTTTATGCATTGAACTTTTAACTTTGTTTTTAATTTTTTTCATATATTAAATGCATATTAGGTTTCTAGTCACCATCTGCTACTGCCTATAATGCTTAATAGAAAGTTTAGGCTGCATATCTTTGATGTCTCGCAAAGTTTCAACAGCTGATTCAATTTGATGTTTTTGGCAACTTCAGTTTCCCAAATTCAGACCTGGAGATGAGAAATGGAAGTCAGTCAAAACATCAAGGTGAATTAACTAACTGTCACTTCCATAGGCTGTTGCTACTGCTGATTTTTACATTTGCTAGATTGCTTTTGTTTATTTTTGATATGAATATGTTACATTAAAAAACAAATATTATTCAAAACCATTAAGTTTATGTAGGAAGAATTGTGTTCTGATTTTCTTTTGTTATATAATAAATCTTAACTGGTCTTTGAATACAACTACAACCATCATAAAGTTGTGATTCCAGATAGTCAGGAGAAGTTTTTCTTTCTTTTTTTCCTATTCTGAATATAAAGGTTGCTTATTTGCAAGAAAATAAAGAAAATATACTTAACTAACAAAATAAAAAACAACAGAGGAATGAGTTATGTTTCTCAAAGCTAGAATTTTTTTTCCACCATTATATTTATATTTTTGTTTATTCCAATTTATTCAAGTGTTGTTGCTAATACACACATTTTTCCTCTTAGCTTGTGTTTTTTATTAGCCAGACCATTACATTTTATTTTTGTTACTTCTCTGGAAAAAATAAAATTACAATTTATGTAGAAAAATTTCTGTAAATGTTTCATTTTAGCAACATTATCATTTTATTGATCGACATCAAGTGAAAGTTATTGGAGGAGATGGGGGAAATGGATGCATCTCATTTTTGAGGCTTTTTAAAAACCCAATTGCTGGTCCTGATGGTGGTGATGGAGGAAATGGAGGTCATATTATTTTTGAAGGTAAGACTCAAAATCTGTAATCTTGGTGTAGAAATATTAAAATCATTATACTTAACTTCACCCTATCCAAAGGTAGAGCTGGGTGATGAGTGTAATTTGCTAATCAATTAATCAAAGGGCTAGTTAATCAGTTACAGTCTCCTAATCAATTATTATGTTCTTAAAACAAAATAAAGAAAATGGTACTTAGTGATCATTATCAAGTAAATAAAAAAAGCAACTTATAATGCTAACAATTATGTTTCGACACCTATGGTGGGCTGTACACAGATAGCCCATTATATAACTTAGCACTTAACAACAAACAAACATAATGGAAATTTTTTTAAATTACTTGGAAACCCTAATTCAGTTAGTTGAATATTTTTGGGAGTTTTGACACAAGTTTGAGTTAATCAAAAGAATAGTGAAAAATCCTTTGTGCATTATTTCAGTTACTGGATAGTTAGAATAATCAAAGATAGTAATAATGATCAGAAACACTCATTTCGATTACTTGATTATTTTTGTCACAATATAGGATTTAATCACAATTTCAGTTAATCAATTGTTAGAATATTCAAAAACAGTAATAATTGGAAATGCCAGTTTTGATTAGTTGATTATTTGTATGACATTAATCAGCCACTTTACACTAATTGCTGTAATCACTGTTCATAATAATTGATTTAATTGCCCAGCTCTAACCACAGGTATGTCTGTGTTCCTGTGTGTTAAGAAGTTTAACATTTTATGCAAGATAATAAGTGGTCTAAATTTTAAAGCTTGGATTTTATTTCTGTATTTTCCAAGAAGAAATTCTATGAAAAAGCATGAAATAAATAAAATGAAAACGTCCTAAATAGGATTAATCAAGGTTTTCTTTTACTTTTTTTTAACCAATGAGTAATATGTGATGTTTAAATTATAGATTTGAATTTGAAATGTTGTGTTTATGCTATTTATATGTTAGCCAATCGGAATATAAAGTCTTTGAACCATGTGGAGGCCATTGTGAAAGGAGAGGTTGGTGGGAATGGGAAAGGTAAAGATATGCATGGAGCAAATGGTGAACACATCATAGTTCAGGTAAAAAAAACACTTAAGTTTGATGTGTAAATTAGTAAAGAATAGGGATGGGACAAAAATCCAATGAATTCTGATCCACTCTTTATTGATTTTTGGATAGCATTTCCATTGATGAATTATCTCACAATATTAAGCAAGCATGATACTAATTTTATATGTATCACATACACGCATAATAGATATTGCATTATCTAGTAGACTGGTGCTTTTTACTAATTTCTAAACATGGTAGCATTTTACCTGGTATTAAAGAGTGGGATCTGTGGTAGTTGTAATATAGACAGTCATTATGTAACTTAAATGAATAATGTACTCACTTGTTATGTTGTAGCAGCAAGAATGGTAAGTGTTTCATGCTGTTTGCAACATTTTTGTAAAAGGCTTGCAATAGCTTATTCACTCATGCAGAATTGTACATACTTAGTAAGTTTTTGAAAAACAATGATAAAGTATGTAGTTTAATACTATACTATAAAGAAGTGGTAGCTCATGTCTGCTGCAAATTTTCAATATGTATGGTCATGTCTACTATCTGATCTGTTAAATTTCCAGATCTCATCATATATCTGAAATCTAAGATTGAAACTACCATATATTCCATACTCAGTAAAGATTACTTTTATTTAATGTGAAAAATTGTTTATCAATTTGCTCAAACATCCTGCGATACAAAATTATTATAATGAAGCATAGACTTGAATTGTAATAATAATTCAAACTTCTGTAGATTTTCTCAGTAAAAACATGTGAAGCCAACAGTGAATCACTGTAATATATCCAGGTAAAACTGAATTAACTTTAGAGCAAAGAGATAGGTCTACTTAATAACAAGAGATGTAGTCAGTAATGCTAAATATTTGAGTAAATGAGTCATGAAATTGACTGCAGTAAAGAGACTGAACACAAAGTGAAACACAAAATAAACAGTCTTTATTATCACAGACATAAACCACAAACATCATATGTCTAATTTGATTTTACATACAAGGGACCATCACTTCTACTGGATCCTCTTTATTTAAATGTTCAAACTGGATCTGTGTAACACTGACCAAATTCAGCATTCCTTAGTTCACAACAGTTCCTCTACGTAACAGTTATCTAATATCTTGCACCACTGCTGAAAAGTTTTTGTACGTGCACCTAGCCTTTGAACAAAAGTCCCACTCGTACATGTAACGTGTACTGCACCACTATATCATGCAATCAGCATTAGGAGGGCAATACTTCTTCTGTGTTCAGTACTCCTCTTGAGCATTTTTTTTGTATTTCAAATGCTTTTTCTTTTCCTTAACACTGAAATTTTCAGCTGTTCTTCTTTTCTCTAAGAATTATAGAACTGTTTTACCTATTATTTTCAACTCTTAGTTAACATAGCAATATGTCAGTAAAGCAAGAAAAGATTGAATTTTTATATTCTAGATTCTAGTTTGTCAGTATCTATAGCACGTGTTTCTAATTGTTTGATCAATCTGAAGTCCTTATAAAAGAAGAGAAAAAATCTATAAATGAGAAATTACAATGACTTGGAGAGTTGCAGACTGAGAATTTATTTTAATATTTCTTTTTCACATTAAACATTAAAACTTGTATAAATATAAAAATCTGAATTATAAACTGTTTTGTTGCCAAACTTGTTAATGAACCTTGATAATAAAGTTGCTTAACCCTATGTGTACAGCAGGGTCAAAATGCAGTTACATTCAAAATTTAATTAAACAACATTATTATCAATGTTATTAAAATTTATGTAAGTTAATTTTTAATATTAAAAGGGAACATTTGAGTAAATTCTTAATCTTCACTTTTCTGTGACACATCATTCTTCCGTATTATCATTTTAGATTTTCTTTCCACCCCTGTATGACCTTTTGAGTTTAGTACAAATTATGCACCTGTGGTATAAATAATACTAAGCCATGATATGAATTTGTGTCCTCCAGTCTTTTTTCCTTTATTAAGGTATAAAAATGAAAGTAAAACCCACGTCATGCCCTTCTATCACATTCTGTCTTTCAAAAAATGTAAATATTCCTCTCCGACATTTCCTGTTTGACTGTTTATAACTAATAGAAAGAGAAGGTTGCACTTTAATGAACTCCTATGGGGCTAGCTTGTTTCAGATGACAGATTTTGAAATTTTTGGCTTCAAGTTTATTGTTTGCTATTGTTGAGATCACTTTGAACTGGGTAATAGAAATTTTTTTACTCACTTATAGCTTAGCTAGAAAGCTAGTTAAATATTAATAGCCTTAGAACATTCTATTTTTTGTGCACAATAATATTCCATATTCTAAATTGCATATTTAAAATAAATTAAAGTATTTTATGTACAACCAGTATCATTACAAAAAAGTTTAGGTTGCTTCATCTGCTTTGCCTTTCTGATAGGGAAAAAAAGCAAAAGTCAAGACCTAAGTACTAAATTTCTTATTAATTGCTATAAGAGCAACTAAAATGTTAAAAATAGAAACAGGTTAAGTAAGAAACTTTTTGAATGAAAAAAAAACATTTGTCCATTTAATGCCGTAAACTGCTATTGTCTATGATATAATTCAATACTTCATTTACCATAATGTGTAGTAAGCTCTTTCTGGGTAATTTATTGCTTTGTTAAGCAGATTAGACGTGGTTCAAAGAGCAAGAAAATTAAATAACACATGTAAACAGTTGCTAGAAATAAATAATTATAATTTTCTGTTACAATCTGCAATCATGCCAGAAATGAAAAATGTACTTTTGATTTTATTTCATATTTTTCAACTTTTACTACAGTTAGTGTCTGGGTAGAGAAAATAACCAATGAAGTATAAAGTTTTACCAAAAAACTTTTGATATTCATTTAGGAGGTTTTTGAAGTTATGTAAGTGAATTATGGAAATTGTAAGATGAGAAAAATTTTTTTTTTCTTAATATAAAAATCACTTTACACTCAGATTAGTCAGACTGATTCAGTAAATTCACAGACAGTTTGTTTGTAGAAATACTTTATTAAAAATTCTGAATTTTTTATGTACAACATGTGTAATGTTTACTAAAAGCTTACCAAATTTTGTGAAGACACATTCAGTAAATTTGGAAATACAGTAAACATTACCATACATAACTACACAGAAACAGGGTTTTTGACCATCTCTTCCTTAAACCTGCCTTTGCTTCATGTTCTTCAATCATTAATAAGGTAACATTCTCCATTTTGTTTCACTGCTCTGACAACTCGGGTATGTGATATTTGTTCTTTTACTTTAGTTGTTTCTGCTGGTTTTGGGGTAAGCTTGCATTCATCTCAACTCATAAGATGTTTTTTTTCCCTTCACCTGTTTGTTGCACATTTGCAAATTCTTTTGATCTATGCTTTGTAGTAACTGTCAGTTACCATATCCTCTCATACTTAAGACTCTTTTTATCTGTAGCCTGTAGTTGGAATTCTTCATAGTTTCTATTGCTTCTATCCCTTCTCCAAGCATGGGGATTTTCTCCTTCTCTGAATCTCTTTTACCCGCAGTATGCTTATTTTCATCTTTTACTTACTTACCTCCTTAGCTTGCTGTCCTCTACTATTTTCTTATGGGGGAAGATTGCACTAACCCATTCTTCCCATTGCTCCATTTTCTTCTTCAGCTGTTCCCACTTCATTTGTTTTTGGAGTTGGGTTTATTGAATGATTTATTTTCCGGAGTTAGACTCTCTCAGGTTTATTTCAGGGAATTCCATTTGACACTGTTACGTATAAGAATCTTGAATTAGTCCGAAGCCGAGTTAACTGATAATTAAAATTTAGTAGTTAAATTGTACTTTGGATTTAGTATTTAAATATATGCTGATATTTTAGTCAATTTACAATATTTGCCAACAAGACTGATACACACCGTTTTCATTTTTAACACAATAACGTTTTACTATACACACAACATTAAAATTTACAATAACAATTATTACAAGTAGTTATTACAAACAAAGTTCACAAATTTACAAACAATATAAAATCTTCTTTCTAGTTTGGAACTCCCTTGATATTTTATCGAGGGCTTACAACGAGTGAGTTAATTAAAAGTCGATGTAGATATGATTCACTGGGAAGTTAACTAGCATTGTCCTTTGCCACACACACTGAATTTTTGGTCCTTTGAAGTTAAGTAATGTTCGATGAGAATCCAGTGAAGTTAAACGATTTGTACTGTTCAAAATTTATAAATATTCCTGGTCAAATATCTTAAGTTTTCCAATTGATAAGCATTATAAATATCACGGTTATAGCTTTCAAGGTACATGTATATAGCACACTGATTAGCGAACTACTAATAGACACTCTTTTTGGCGCGTCTCGTTGGTTATATTTATAGCCATGGGAAGGTTTTCTAGAAAATTCAGTGTTATGTAACCATACTGATTAAAGCATTTATACTTTTGATTATTACTCTCGAGAATCTTCAACAACTTTGGAGAATAGGTGGGAGTTTCGCAATACATATCTAACACTATAAGCTATGCATGTTTTTAAATATAAACTTAATCTAAACAACGTTGATATTAAAATAAATACATAACAACAAATTTGTTACATACACCCATCCAATTCTTTTTGGAAATTGGTTGTCTCACCCTCCTTGCACCAACCATCATGGGGATCAGTAATTAGTGGTTTCTGGAATCACTCCTCAGCTTTGGTCCTTTGGGAGCTTAGTTCTTACACCTTATCCATTTGTGGATTTGCTTTGCAGGAGACTTTTGGTCCCACAGGTTCCCCTCAGGAGCTTTCTTTATTATTCAAGCCACTCACCTCCCTATTTTTAACAAAGTTCTGAGGGCTCTCATAAGGAGAATGTTATCATTTGGTCTGCATTTTATGGAAATTTGGCATCTTCTAACCCTGACCTAGGAGGCATCATCTGCTACATTTTCCTTTTTCCTTTGGGTTGGCTGGTAAGACTCCCAATTCAGTATTGATTCTCGTTCAGTATCTGTTTCATTTGAGAGTTTTAACATCTAGTGTACTGAGT